AAAGTTGCAAATAAGAACTTCCAGTTAACTCTATCAAAAGCTTTTTCTGCATCTAGAGATAATATACTAGTTTCTATGTTTCTACTGTAAGAGAAATCTATCAAATTAAGTAATCTACGTGAGTTTGTGGATGACTGTCTACCCTTAATGAAACCAGTTTGGTCAGGGTGTATTATGAAGGGGGTTACCTTCTCTAATCTTTTGGCCAGGGCTTTACAAATTATTTTGAGATCAACATTAATAAGAGAAATTGGGCGATAGCTGGTAGGAAATGCCGGGTCTTTGCCTGGTTTTAACAAGAGACTAATATTGGCTGAATTCATGTTTGGCTGTAATCTGCCGCCCTCTTCGATTTCCCTCACCATTCTGAAAAATGTTGGAGCCAGAATGATCCAGAATTCTTTGTAGAATTCTACTGGGAACCCGTCTGGACCTGTAGCTTTCCTATTAGTCATGGATTTAAGGGCTTCCTGGAGCTCCGCTGATGTTAGTGGTGAGTCCAGGACTGTAACTTGGCTGTCTGATAATTTAGGAAGTGTTATCCTGTCAAGGAACTCATTGATCTCATTATCTGATGGGTTTATCTGTGGTGAGTACAAAGTTTGGTAAAAGTCTCTGAAGGTGTTGTTTATTCTTTCAGGATCATATACTATATTCCCGGTTGAGTCTTTAACAGCAGATATGGTAGTTTTCTCTTTATTTATTTTTAATTGGCTAGCTAAGAATTTACCTGATTTATTACTATGTTCAAAGTTTTCTATTCGTAGTCTTTGTGCTAAAAATTGTGTCTTTTTGTCAATAATTCCATGAAGTTCTAATTTAGCTTTACGTAATTTGCTCATTGACTCTTCTTCTGTGGACGCCTCTAAAGACTTGATGATTCCTTCTAACTCCTGAATACGTTTGTTTTCTGTTTTTTTCTTATGTGATGAGAAAGAGATTATTTTACCTCTCATCACTGCCTTTCCTGCCTCCCAAAGAATAGATGCTGATGTTCCAGGCAGGTCATTATGTTCTAAATATAAAGCCCACTCCTTTTTAAAAAATTCTATAAAACCTTCGTCTTTAAGCAGTGATGTATTAAACCTCCAGTTTTTGCTTGGTGGGATTGTCTTCTTGTTTACCAGAGTTAAAGAAACCGGAGCATGGTCGCTGACAGCTATGGGGTGTATCTCAGTGTCTGAAATGTCAGCCAACAATGAGCTGCTGACTAGAAAATAATCCAAACGTGAATGAGAGTGATGGACGTGCGAAAAAAAAGTATATTCTCTACGGTTAGGATGAAGAGATCGCCATGCATCACAAAGCCCATAATCACTCATGTACTGTTTAACTATGTTAGTGGATTGCCAATTGCGCTGAGTCCCAGCTGTACTGAGCCAGTCTGTTAAGGAATTCATCCAAAAATTAAAATCACCTCCAAGTATAAGTGGACAGTCCAAGTGTTCGGAGAGTACAGAGAAAAAATTATGAAAGAATGGAGGGTCATCAATATTTGGACAGTATATGCTGACGATACATAAGCGCTGGTTCTGTATAGATATTTTTAACATTATAAATCTACCCTCTGGATCAGAAACTGTGTCCAATACTGTGAAATTTATGTTTTTGTGTATTAAAATAGCTACACCTCTTTGCCTAGAGTTATAGCAGGCAGAGAACATGCTGGGAAACTCAGGTGTTTTAAGTTCATCTGCAGATGTGGCAGATCTATGAGTCTCTTGTAACAATATTACGTCTGCTTGCACTCTCTTTAACTGATCAAAAATTTTTAATCTCTTCTCTCTAGAGCCAGCCCCATGTACGTTCCATGAAACAAACCTTAGTGCACCCATAGATGTGTGTGTGAGTAGCTATAATATGACGCCTTCATGTGTATGAGATAAGATAAGTAATTAAACGCATACATTAATCTTATAGTAAATAATAATAATAAGGGTGTTGTTATAATCATTATTATCATTTGCAACATTAAATATAATAATAGTAGTAAAAAAACAATAATAAAAAAACAACTTTAATATAAAAATATTAATGCTGATGATGATAACGTAAAATATATAATAAAAAAACAATAGTAGTAATAATAATAATAATAATAATAATAATAATAACAACAACAACAACAAGACAAGCCCAACAGTGTTTTGATTGTGCAATGAAACGCCTTAGGCTACTTATCTGTGTGACTGCGTATGGAATCTGTGTGTGTGTGTGTGTGTGTGTGTGTGTGTGTGTGTGTGTCTGATCTAATATTTTTAAAATGATGAAATCAAACTGACAAAAAATAAGAAGTTATGGGCAAATATTGGTATTTTAAAGACTAAAAGGGAAACATGTAAACAAATAACATAATTACAAAATAACAAATTTTAGGTAAAATTTAGACACAAACCGAGGACAATAGTTTCCTGATATACAGGGTTTATTTAGTGTTCTGAAAATGTAACACGTTTAAAAAAAATACTGCGTTAATACCGAAAACTGATAATTTTGGTCACAATAACCGTGAGGTTAAATTTTTGCACCGTGACAACCCTACTGTAAACAATTACTTAAGATGTCCTAAACTCCCTGTAGTTTATAGAAGCTGATACAACTTAGAAACTAACATTGTTGCACAACAGAAACAATGTACATTTAGCATTACATTGAAAATAATTATTCATTTAACTTTTAAGCATTTTCTAAAGCTACGCTAAGCAGTTTTATCACTTTAACCAATTCCTTAAAAAGTGGAGTTCAGTGATTGTGTGGGTATAAATGTTACCAACTTCACACAGGACAGCACTCTGCTGACCAGAAACAGCACTTAGCAGTTTTGTGGAGCGGGTATGTGCCCTAGAGCAGCGGTTCCCAACCTTTTTCCCAAGGGACCCCTTTTTTACCAGTAAAACTTTTGACGACCCCCTCCCATTCTCTCTTCCAGTACAAACAGTATTAAGAAATGATAAAATTGTTCAAGCACATTTTAATATGCTTTGATTCAATAGATAACAGTAATAGTAGGCTCCAGTACAGAACAAAGTCATTAACAAAACCAAACAGAGCATAATGTGCGTGACAGTTTGTATTACTTTTCTGAACACATTGTTTCTTGTAAACACTGATAAATCAATCATTCCTTTCAATAAACATTTGACACATAAAAAATAAACTGAGCAAAATGTACTTAAATGTGTATATTACTGTTTATACTAGATTATTTACTGTAAACGCTGTGATTAATCAACCAGTCCTATCTTGAATGAACTTTTGACACTTGAAAATAAAACAGTGAGCTGAGCAAAATGTTCTTAAAAGTGTGTTACTTTTTCTGTACTAATTATTTCCTGTCTTAATATCAGTAAACTTTTCACTCATGAAAAAAAAGTGAGCAAAATGTAGGCTATAAACAAGTAATAAATGAAGTTTTAACCCCTTAAAGTGGTGACCCACTGAGAGGCTTTGGCGCCCCCTTGTGGGGGTAGGGACCCCCAGGTTAGGAACCACTGCCCTAGAGGGCGCGCTTTACCTGCTTCATGGCTGTAAATTATTTTCTTTGCCTATATCTAATTTAAAGACTAGCAGTTAGCTTTTTCGGTTTGCTGACTATCAATAAAAAAAAAACAAGAAGAATATAAAAAGAAGTTTGCTTTTTTGTGGCACCTGGAAGTAAAAGTAAGAGAATAAGGAATTTGGAGGCGAAGCAGAGCTAAGACCAGAGTGAACTGGTGGAACCACTGGTGTGAGAGGTTTGTGACTCAGAGAAGGAGAAACAGCCGGCTGTTACCACTTCGATTTTAGGACAAACTACCAGAGTCCCAAAAAGACAAGAACCATTTGAAGTCACGCACAACAAAAGACATTTGGACCTAGAAAATGATGACTGGTGTTTAGCTCTCTCTCGTTTACTCTGGCAATGTGGGTTTCCGGTTCCGGCAGAAGTGTCTCAGGGAAGATACCCGAGGGGAGGGGTGAGTGTTCCATGACCATGTTTGCGTGCAAAACTTGTTTGCAGATTTGCTGTAATAGCTTTAATATTTAGCAATACTTGGCTCATGTAAGTGTTAGCACATTGTTAGCTTTAGCTGCAGCAGTCTATGTTTATGACAGTAATTCCATTTTCAACCAGGATGGAGAAACTCGAAACTGTTTAGTGTTGCTTTAATGTTTATCTGATATTTATAGAAGCTATATGTTCTTGTGTTTTGTTTAGTTGTACTAACTCTGCTTTATAGAGTCAAAACACAACTTTGACTGCAGCACACAGTTACAAAATTAGGATGTGCATAATCAGCTGAAATGACACGCTTGTACACAACGGAAGTTATCAGTTTTATTCTTCAACACCCTTTTAAAGGTAAGGTTCACTGTGAAACGGTCAATACCAGTTCATTTTGAAAATGTGGTCGATCACATTGAGTTTCAGATGCAAGCTGATTTCTGCCCCTATTTTCTGTGTTAGCTGTCAAAAGAAATTGGACGGGGAAATGGTCAGGCAGAAAAAGCCACACAGATGTATGTCACACTGCAAATTAGCATTAATGGCCTCACCCATCTTGACTTGCAATCACAAAAGGATGTTGTTGATTTGACAGCCAAGACAGAGCAGAGTGTGTCTCGGCTAGTAAAAGCTAACCGTTAGCATTAGCAGCTCAACAACATGGCAGAAGCCTTTCAGGCTTTTGTTATTAGTGGAGATAAAACATCAGTGTTGCAAAGAGAACAGAGGCAGTGGGAATCACTTTGCCTTTTACCAGTCAGAGACGAAATGTCTGCAAATCAAAACTACTAATGTGTAGGACTTTTCCGGTTTTCTCAGGCTAACTTCTGATACCTGAGCCTGGAACGAGATCATTTTAATACTGGTATTTTCTTTCTGTTATGGAGGAAAACTGCAACAAGCTTGGTGCCCACTACTGTGGCATGTGTAAAATGTATAATGCTGTAACTGTTTCAACCCTGAACTGAAGGGAATTTCATGAAAAGTTATTTTCAAGCATTTCCTTTTAACTCACCTTTGCTGCAGTTGCTGTCCCCCTCCAGCAGAGGGCTCCACGGTGGGTCCCCCTGGTTGGCAAAGGTGCGCATGTGCAGGTAGCTGATGGTCAGTCGGATGACCGAGGCCTTGTCCAGCTGGCTTGTGATGGCCCCTGGCAAAGGCAGCATCTTGGCCAGCTCGAAGAACTCAAAATTCTCCTTCCCACGCCGAGAACGAGCGGCATTACGAGATTTCTCTTTACGAAGGTTCTGGAGACTGTGCAACAAACAGGGAAACATGTTGGTGTGGAAAAGACAGGAAGAGGAGTAACCCCTGCTGCACACTGGAAGCATCAGCGGTGCGGAACGTCACTGCTTCAAATAGAATCCATTAGAGCCTAGTGGGGGGGGGGGGGTTCAAACCAGCCACGATGCGGGAAATTTCAGACGCATCCCAGAAAGATAGGATCAGGTTCTATTTTTGTCACGAGCCTCTTCGGGGACACGGCTGTTCCCACAGTTAACATAGGGCTTGATTGGACAGGAAATCATACACGGTTTTGGTGTTAAACCCCTGGTAATTTTCAAAATAAAAGTCTATTGCAGTGATGCTATTTCATATCTATGTAGATTATGTCAATACAAGTAACCTAATAGCTTATTTGCTGGCTTTAATCCTGGCAGTTTAGAAGAACAACATCATATATGACATCAACCAGCGATACCAAATGTGATTTCCTTGTTTTTGCTTTAAAGTCGGACGGCGTAAACTCAAGGAATTTTGTGATCTCGCAATCTCTCCCGGTGTGCACTAGAGTGCAGCGGTTGTCGCGAGTAAACCTTTCCGCTGCTGTTCCGCGCCGCTGATGCTTCCAGTGTGCAGAAGGGGTAACAGTGAAGAGTATTTACCGACCACCAGTTGACTGATTTAAGATCATTTTGAAAGATGTATACATCACTTCTGATTGGTTTCATCAAAACTTCTAAAAGACCTTCAGTTGAGGAGAAACAATCTCCATTCGGACCTGTTTCTCATACACTGGCCTGATAATTACAGACAAAGACCTTTCTTTTATCCAGTAGAGCTGAGTCCTAATAACACTATTTGCTCTAAAATCCATTTGTGAACCCATGCAAACAATCTCCTGCTGCCTATCTTTCCTTTTCCCCCTCCCTCTCTCTGAAATCCCCTGCCTCCCCCTCATCTGGTCCTGAGCTAGTGAGCTGTAGCCGTGATTGAGGGATCAATAGTGGAGGGAAGGGCGGAGTGACAGAGGGGGGCCGGGGCTCAGGTAGCCTGTCGCTGGGATTGGGTATTGACTCTCCTCAATGGGGCCTGAGTGGTGGAATTATGTTGTCACAGCCACTTCACAATTTGTGTCAGTGCAGCTCTGGAATAAAGTGTTTGTGTGTGAGTGTGTGAAAATCCCTCTTGTGCTTGTGTCGTTTTCAGCCTAAGACCTGCATTTTTATAATGTGTGTGTTTTATGAAAGTGTAAAAGGAGGAAAAAAGCTGCATGATTTGCTAATACGATTATATCCTATTAAGGCGGCACAGCTGTTGGATTTCCCCTTCATATCCTGTAACAAGCTTTTCTCCCCGTGTGCGTGTGTGTGCATGTGTGTGTGTGGACTTGTGCTGCCGGCCGCTGTAACGTCTCATTATTATACCGCCTCGACCTACAGCCACTGAGAACGATCAATACGCTCACATTGATTCTGCTTAGTTTTTATATCCGCCTGTAAATGACTGCCCATTAATAATTCCTGCCAAATTTACTTAATCTCCTTTAAGAGGAGGGGACTCACATATCTGACAGGAGTGGCAGGTGAGCAGCAGTCCAGGTGAAATGTAGCACGGAGGAGAGCAGACTTATGTCTTCGGTATTGTGTTTCAGTGAGAGGAAACTCTTCATCAGGCTGTCGGCGTGCGTGCAAAGGTGTCAACCCGTGGGTTTCACCTTGCTGAGATTAATTCATGAGCATGCACGCAGGCTTATATTGGCCTGTGTGTGTGTGTGTGTGTGTGTGTGTGTGTGTGTGTGTGTGTGTGTGTGTGTGTGTGTGTGTGTGTGTGTGTGTGTGTGTGTGGTCTCACCAGGGTAAGGTGGGAGGCTTGGCAAGAAGTCCTTGTAGGAAATCCCATTCCACGCTCACACATTTCCCCTCGCTGACAAACGGCATGCTCGCCATCCTTCCTCCAGTCCAGCGCCAACGCTGTTCCTAACGAAGGCTTTGATTGGCTCCGGATGCAACCGACCTAAAAAATATTTGAGAAAGTACATCAGAGGTGGAAGGTGATGATGATGAAGTAACCTTGAGATGTAAAATCATCATGTTCTAATTCACCTTTATGAGCGAATTAAACGCATCAAATTTCAGGGTAAAACTAATTTATCAAATTAATTTTAAAACTTTATTTATTCCCACAATCAATATGAAATTTTCTTCTTTTATCTGTTATTTCCATTTAAAAACTTCAATAGTGTGCAAAACTCTTGAGCCAGCTCTGTTTTTGTGTCCTGTTTTAAAGTTGACCGTTTCTTGTTATTATTTTGTGGTTTAATGGTATAAATATACATTTTATTTTTTTATTGTTTATTTATGGGCCAGTAAACCACAAAAAGTTTCATAAGTCAGTACCATGATAAATGATAAATGACCCTCACTTGTATAGCGCCTCTCGGAGTAAGGACTCCAAAGAGCTTTACACTACAGTGCATCATTCATCCATTCACACACACATTCACACACTGATGGTGGTGAGCTACAGTGTAGCCACAGCTGCCCTGGGGCACATCTAAAGCTAAAAAGGCAAGGCAGCTTTATTTGTATGGCACATTTCATACACAGAGGCAACTCAATGCTTTTCATTAGCGAGAATAGCATGAACATTAAAATCAACATGGCAGTACACATTTCAGATTTTGGAATCAGAAAAAATACAAAGATAAAGAGTGAGCAGTTACAGTGCAGAAGGTGCAGCATAAGAAACATTCATTTAAAGGCTGATGAATACATGAAGATTTTCGATTTTGATTTAAAAGTTACTAGAGTTAGGGCACATTTGAGTTAATAAGGAAACAGCTTCACCCTGTTTGGTTCTGACCCGAGGTTCTACCAGCTGACACCTTCCTAAGGACCTCAGAACCCTGCTGGATGTATATAAAGGAAGGAGATCAGACGTATTCTGGACCGATGCCATTGGGTGATTTATAAACTAGTGGTAGCACTTTGAAATGTATTTTTTTTTACTGGTAACCAGTGTAGAGATTTCCGAACAGGAGTGATGCGCTCGGTTCTCTTGGTTCTTGTTAAAATTCTAGCAGCAGCATTCTGAATAAGCTGCAGTTGCTTCACAGCTTTTTTGGGAAGACCAGATAAAAGACCATTGCAGTAGTCCAGCCTGCTGGAGGTGAACGCGTGAATGAGTATCTCTAGGTCTTGTCTGGACATGAGACCCCTGAGTCGTGCTATTTGATGAAGATGATAAAACACTGATGTAGTTAAGTCTGAATCAATTATGACGCCAGTATTTCTAACCTGAGTCTTTCTCTGAAGCCAAGTTGAGCAATAACCTCTGTCCTCTCTTTGGATAGGATGTTTTTGACTACCTCAGACCAAAAGGCACAATAAAATCCAATCTTTTAGCTGAATCTATGTAAAAAAATATCCAAGCACAGTTTGATCGACGTAAAAGGTATTTTTTCACCTATAAGGTGATTCCCAGAGGATTCCCAGCCAAGTTCCTGACATACAGTACATGCATAAAGTGAAGGGCCAGATGCATCTCACAGGTTTTGTGTCAGCTCTGCTTTTCTTCGATTCCTCAGGGACATCCCCCTCAAATGCTGTTCATCTGCTATAGATTGTTTGTTTGTTTTTTCACCTCCAACTTCTGGTTTTTGTTTTCCACTTGCAAAGTTTTCTCAAAGTTTTTTTGTGAAGTGCAAAAAAACCCAAAAAGCTCTGGGTTACTTTCATGAGATTACAAAAAGGTTTAGCTCCTTTCTGATAAATTCTAGGCATGAGGGATGGAAATTTGCAAAGTAATTATAATGAAAATTTATTTTATATTTCTAGCAAAAGCTCAGTAGCTGCATGCAGAAATGTATTAATTGCTGTGTGCATGTGCGTGTCCTATTAACGCGTAAACAAGATCACATTTGGAGGTTAGTGAGAGATGAAGGACAAATCCTCTTCCAGTGTGATACTTTTTAAGGAGGCATTTATGGATTTTCTGAAAGATATTCAGGAACGAGAGAATGCCGACAGAGAAATAAACAACCAGAATGAATAAATGAGATTGAGGAGAAGCAGTTAGACTCTCTGTTGTTAAATTAGGGTTTTTTCTTGAGATAATCACCAGAAAACGCAACGGTAACTCTTACAATTAGGCTCAAAATCACAGCTCTGTAAATGTCTCCCTTCATGGCCTAGAGGGGGATGAAGCCAAATACCTCTGAAGACAAAAGTCACTGTCCCTTTCAAGTAAAAGTTGCCAATACTGTCCTCAAACAGAGCAGCGCTCCTCAACAGTTTGCCTGCCCTCTGTGCTGTGTTGACATTTAAAGGGCTACCGTGGCCCCCAGCACCTCGGTGTCGTGCCCTTGGGCCTGAGATGGCCTCTCTCCCTCCCTTCCTGCCTCTTCCTCAGGGCCGGCTGGGTCAGCACAATCGAGTCAGTGGAGCTTTGCCAGGGCAAAAGAAAATGGATTATGTCTCGAGTTTGAGCATGGCTCCGCTGACCTTGGCTAAGAGGGGTCAGCAGAAGCTGGGCAGGGTTGGCAGATATCATTTCCCAAATCTGGCCTTAAAGCCAACATTAAATACATGCGAGAAAACTTCTTGGACTGATTTCAAAAGCTGAGAAGTCAATAATGAGTTTCACAAAGAGAGACAGGGAGATCTTTCATGGGTTTGTTCCATCTTTGGGCTGCAGCAGTGAAGCTAACCTAGGTCATTGGTTGAAAGGCTGGCCTCTGATCAAAACCGTTTTAAATCTTAACATGCAAAACCACAGGCAGTTAAAAATGCAACAAATACTGATGGAAAGTGGTCCACCTGCATTAGTTAGAGAGTTTTAGCAACAATGAAGGTCTTTCTGTCATGATTGTTGATGAGAATTTTTAAAATAGACAAATAATTTTTAAAATAGACAACTATCACCTCCTCACAGTATGTATAGGGGTTTGCTCGTGCAGCATTGTCTCATAAAGGTAAAACATGATAATTTAAAAATCTCATTAGCAAACTAATAAAAATTCTACCTGTAAAATGATGTCCTTTTATTTAAACATATGTAATTAAGTGGACTTTAAATACCATCCATCCATCCATCCATCCATTTTCATCCGCTTATCCAGAGTCGGGTTGCGGGGGCAGTAGCCTAATGTGAGAGGCCCAGACTTCCCTCTCCTCAGCCTCTTGGGCCAACTCCTCCGGGGGAATCCCAAGGTGTTCCCTGGCCAGATGAGAGACATAGTCCCTCCAACGTGTCCTGGGTCTACCTTTAGGTCTCCTCCCGGTTGGACGTGCCTGGAAAACCTCACCAGGGAGGCGTCCAGGAGGCATCCTGACCAGATGCCCGAGCCACCTCAACTGCCTCCTCTCGATGTGGAGGAGCAGCGGGTCTACTCTGAGCCCCTCCCGAATGACCGAGCTTCTCACCCTATCTCTAAGGGAGAGTCCAGCCACTCTTCGGAGAAAACTAATTTTGGCCGCTTGTATCCGCGATCTCGTTCTTTTGGTCATTACCCAAAGCTCATGACCATAGGTGAGGGTAGGAACGTAGATCGACCTGTGCATCACATGTACTTTAAATGCATATGAGTGAAGTCTTAAAGGCATGCTTGGCAGTTTTGCTTGCTTTTAGCACCCCCTAGTGTCTGTTGTTAATTCTCTGTGGTCAAACCAGAAATGAAACTTATATCCTTGCTGTGCGTTTGTCGTTTTAACACCTTAATCTAACATCTGAAACGTCTCCCCAGCCTTCATTACTGTCTACGGGAGCGGTTCATCACTAAATTAAATAAATCAGCTGTGTTCATGGTCTAAAACATGCAAAAAAACATGCTGGAAGCAGACTGCAGCACCAGCTATGTCATCTCCTTATTTTTCTAACAGGTGGCGGCCCGCTAGTCTGAAGTTGCAAATGCGGCACTCCGGCCACAGAGGGCATTGGGAGTCTGAGTGACATTTCATTAACCCTGTAAAGGGTTGTTTTAGCACACACTGGCTCAAGAACATGTTTACAAATATAAAAGAGTTGCAAAGTATTGCTTTAGGAGTGTTGAGAAACTTTCCATGGGGTAAACCAGCTAAAAGCACACAGGTGAAAAATGTAAAATGCTCCGTTGTTGAAATGTGAAGCTACAATCTCTGCTACTGGCACCTGCTACTCTTAATACTTAAATAACTACAACAACACCTATAAGCAAGAAGAACTTGAGAAATAAAACAAGCCCAGAATTAATTAGATGTGAAACCTATATTGGAACCAGCCACTAGGGGGTGTTGTTTTGTTCATTTAGTAAATACAGGTATGGTGTGTGCACTGCATTTGTCACCTGTGAAAAGGCTTAGATGAATAAACTGAAGGATGTAATGACATTTTTAAACGTTCGTTTGAATTATTTTCCCATGTTTGTATGTTTTCTTTGATTATTTGCTTTTTTATCTGTACAGCTCTTTTATTTTGTCCTGTATTTCTGTTCGTGCTTTGCAAACATTTACTTTAAAGGTGCAGTATGTAAGATTATAGTGAGAATTTTACAGGGAGAAAATCCAAAAAGAGTGACGTTTCAGTCATTTTTGAAGGAAGGTTAAACTGAAACACATTTCATATCCATCTGGCTGCTGGATTGTCAGTTTTTCTCCTTTCAAAACAAAAGAAGGAGGGGCGTAACTACTGTTTACCATCAGTGAGTGTGGGGTTGCCGTGTCTCCAGCGAGCTAATGCGGCAGCGCCGACAATTCTAAATTGACGACAGCCGGCGAAAAGCTCCGGAGTTGTTTAAAGTGGTTGCAAAAAACCAATTTTACCACAGGATGTCATTTATATTGTATTTCTACATAATGCTCCTTTAAGTAAAAGTTTAGTTTCCTGTTTTTGAGTCCTTTTTTAACCCCAAATTAGACCTTTTCTGCACATAAAACATAGTCCTTTTTGAACTCATATTGAATTTTTTTCTATTCAGTCATATTTTAAAACAAAATAACGGATTCATTTCTTTGTTTCTGAACTTTACAGATAATTTG